TACTCATTGGTCCACATACATCCGTATGTATAAGACCCAATAAGTCACTAGCCCTTTCTCCTAACTTGGAGAATGGTTGCTTTATCATCTTGCCTAATAAACATCCTTCGCAATTTTCAAACGACTATAAGTCGAATGAGTTAAAAATACCATCATGAAGAAGTTTCTTGATGTGTTTGATCTTAATGTTGCTAAGACGACAATGCCACAAGTAGGTTTGATTCGACTTAATGGTATTAGCTCTTTTGGCAGTATCATCAATGTTATATACTTGTTTGTCTATAGAAAGTTCATAAAGATCATTTTCTGAATATGCCTTACCATATAAAACATTATCGAAATAAAACGAAAACTATTGTCTTTTATTCAAAATTCAAATCCCTTGGCGTTCAACGCCAAAATTGAAATAATATTTTTTGTAACTCTTGGAACATGATAACAATTGTCAATTTCTAAAACAAGCCCAGAGGGCAAAGACAAACTGTTCTAACGGATACGACTGACATCCTGTCTCCATTGCCGACCCGTAGCTCGATCTCTCCCTTCTCTAGCTTCCTATTTATCCTTAGTCCCTGAGCATTGGAACAAAGTTGTGAGCCACATCCGGTATCTAATACCAATGATGTTTTGCTAGCGAAGTTAAGTCTATAACAAAAATACCTGATACAGAAACAACGGTGCCGTTTTTTTTTTGTCTTCCTTGAATTTGAGGCAATCCCGCTTCCAATGTCCTTTCTTCTTGCAATAGAAACATTCGGAATCGGATTTAGAAGAGGCTACCTTCTTGTCCTTGCTGCTCTTAGCAGCACTTGACTTAGGCGGAAAATTCTTCCTCTTTTTCCTTTTAAAGCTTATCTTCTTGTCCGAGCGCTTGAATGGCTTGCCCTTTTTTATCATGAGCATGTCATGCTTCCCCTTAACCTTGAGCTTTTGCTCGGCTTGCTTCAACATCCCATGAAACACGGTGAGGGTTTTCTCCATGTTGTGCATATTATAGTTCATGTTGAACTGATCATAGCCTTTATGCAGCGAATGGAGAATAATGTCAATTGCCATCTCGGTCGAATACCCACGCCTGCTGGCACCAGCATCCTCGCAGCATGCTACGCATGCTCGGATGTTGCTGGCACTGGTAGCTTGTGGGTGGCCTACTAGCAGTGCTGGCTTGCTGCCCCTTGTGCCGCACCAAAATCGCAGCAAATGCACACATACCGTAGCACCAAGTGTGCACTTACTTGGACCCACCACACATTAGCGCATCAAGGGGGCAAGGCTGCCCACACACGCACGTTGGAAGCCACATGTGGGTTGCGTGAGCAACCCGGCTAGCCCAAAGGTGTGTTTTTGAGCGGTCCTTGCGTCGATTTGCATGCACTTGTTTTGGGATTTTAATCCCGATATGTGTGTGGCATAAAATTGATTCAAAATTTATTTTAGAACCAACATTGAGCAAGAATGAAAATATAACAAGTCTAACTTAAATAAATTCAATTTTATAGTGCACAAACAAAAATTATTCAAGAACCATTCTTTAAATCAATTTTAGGTTCATCATGATGCTAAAAATGAAGGGCTATACTCACAATTAATTTAACCATAAATAAATTAATAATGAGATTTTACAAAATTAAAGAGGTTGGAAAAATAAACCCATTCATCTAATGAAAAATTTCCAACACTAACTTGTGTATAATTGAAAATTACATCTTCCAATATGAAGATTAATTAAATTTCAATAACAAGTTTTGTTTTTTTTAGGACTTTAATCAACTCAAAAATGATTAAATCCAAAAATTTGTTCAACATGGAATTTAGAAATCAAAGTTTCAACCAAATAAACAATTTAAGATTGGATCTTTAACATATTAGGGACTTCAAAATTACACATTCACCATAAACATTCACACTTGAAGCAATTAATTTGCAAAATTGTGAAATTTCAAGTTTATGTGAAAAATGAGCCTACCAAATCAAGCACCAATTATGACTTCATAAACATACTTAATAAGGTTTATTATTGCAGTAGATTAGTGATGCAAACATACATTTAATCTACCTTTAACATGCCATAATTAATAAAGGTTTAAAGATTTAAAATTTTTCTTCATAAACGAAAAACCCCTCGACAAACATGTTTCTATGTGGATTTTGGCTTCTGGATAGACCTCAAAGAAAGTCAAAACCGATTTAGAACATCGATTCCACCCAAAATTCACTACTTTTTGGTCGAAATCTGGGTTCATGAGCCAAAATTAGTAAAATACGAGATTAAAGCTAATTAAAACGAGCTTCTAATCTAATTAGAAAGCAAAACAAAAAATTTAAATCCATTTTAAATCACCTCAATTAATTATTAGTTACAATAATTAAAATGAGCGCGGCTCCGATACCCTTGTTGGGTTTCGTAGTGTCCGACACTACGCGGAATGAAACCCGCCCAAGACCCGCACACTAATTAATGTAACTAAACATGCAATCACATAATTAAACAACAAAAGAGAGAGAAAGAGAAAAGACGATCTTACCGTCGACGCGTGCTTCGCTCGCTTACGAGCTCTTACTTGAAAGCTCTAGCTTCGCAGGTGAGTAAGCCTCCAACGGCTCACACCCTCGACTCGACCCGAGCGGTCTCTACCTCGAAGGTTAGTCGGGGCTAGACCAAAGAAAAACTAGAGTATTACGAACTTAAAGGTTTTCTCACTTTCAAGGAAATGTCTTCTTGAGTTCAACTCAAGTGTTTTTTTTTCCCAAACCCAAAACATGGGTTTTTATAGGGAAAGGAGCCTTGATTTCCCACTCCCCATCAATTTGGGAGAATTGCATTTTTGTTCAATTTATTTTAATTCAAAACAAATTAAAATGCAAAATGAATCAACAAGTGCCAAGTGGCAAATGGTAAGTAAGGGTAAGTGATGACCACTAAAGGGGGGACCAAAACACCACTTGCTCCCCAAGTAATCCCCAAAGACCGGTCCCCTCCTTGACCGTGAGCTAGCCACGCATAGCTGGCAGCCAGCCTGCCTTGGCTGCCAAGGCTGCCTAGCTGGAGCCTAGCACCTTGGCTAGGCTAGCTGGCTAGTCCGCATACGCATGCGCATAGCCAGCAAGCCACGCATGCAATGCGGGCTGCTGCTGTTGCGTAGCGTATGCTAGGCGCTGCCTGGCAGCTGCTGCTTGTGCTAGGCGCTACTCAGCACACAAGCATGCACAACCACAGCACACGCACACATAGCACGCTGCTTGTGCTAGTGCGATGCTGCGAGTTGTGCAGTGCGAGGCCCAGCATGCTGCGATGGCTGGTGCTGTTATGCTAGCAAGCACGCACATCCATAGCATACACACGCATGGAACGATGCTTGCGATGCTCGTGTTGTGTGATGTGCGAGTGTTGTGCGATTCCCTCCATGCCAGCATGCATGCGGTTGGTGACCTCGTCTAGCATAGCACTCGCATGGCTAGGCCAAGGCGAGGCTACGACTTGGCTCGTACTAGTCGCTTGCTTGATTCCACGTCTCGTCGCATTCTAATTCGACTCGACTTGTGACGCTCGATTTTGACGCTCTAAGCTCGATATCCGACGTCTTTATTTGTAATACTCTATTGACTCATCTGATCCGTTGGATTGATTTGTCGTCTCAAATCGGTTACTCGATTGGGGTGCGACCCGAAGGGTTCAGTCAAGATTAAGCTGTAACATTATTTATACATTAATATTACTGATCGGAAGTGGCCTCCACCTAGGCATTCCAATCACTTGACCTCACTGAAGAATTTGCTTTCTAATAATTCTGAACCCTCTATCAGAATAATACACTTGTTGGAAGGACACCATTCCTTTCAGTAAGAAGCTTAAGTAAGTGTCCTACTGCAATCTTGTTTAATTTCTTTCTTTATCCCCAACTCATGTGTACATTGATTAGATTTCATAAATGAAAGTTGCTCTATGACCATACTTGTAATTCATATCCCGATGAGTTGACTTGGGCAAATAAAATGAGGATATATAGTTTGATGGTTTTTTTTATTGTGGCTTGCGTGAGTTGTGGATTAAGCTCAATGGAAACCCTCACGAGATAAAAACTCTTCCTGTAGGGCGACTTAGAGGTTTAAATTGCTTCTCACTTGCTCTAAAAGTGGTTATGGTATTTACCATGCGGATTTGTTTATATGTGCATTCTCCTTGTTGCCCCTCCTTGGTTTGATTTTTAGCAAGTTGTTTGACATGCTTGTTTTGTTCGAGGATGAGCAAAAGGTTAGCTTGGGGGGATTTTATAACTTGTTATTTGACATCATTTTAGGGTGTTTTTTAACCTTTTTTACTTGATAAATCGGTAATTTGGTTTACTCTTTTTTTTTTTTTTTTTTATTGTTGTAAATAGTAGATTTCATTACTAAAAAGAGCTGTGAAGCAGCAAATAGGAATACAAAAGGCCCAAAGGCCTAAACTCCAAAACACCAAACGCCCCAACGGGAACACACTCACCAGCTAAGGGCCAAGGTCCAAAGGCCACCTTCTAGGAAGGGTTTCAAAGAACCTTGTACCAAACACGGCTCTTCTGAACTCAATGGAAACGAGCTACCCTTTAGGAGGATTACCCGAAACCAAAGGAACTGGACAAACACCAAGCACACAAGCTTACAAAAAATTGGCCTACAAAAAAGATAAGGAGGAAGCTAAAGCCCAAAACACCTTCACCAAGAAGCAGCCAACAAGAACAAACAAAGAAAACAGGCTGCATCAATGCAAACATAAACGATAACTAAAGAAATTACATGCTTTGAGACAACAAAAACAGTAAACAAAAACCAACACCAATAACCCCGGCAGAACAGTAGTAGCAGAAACCAGCAAAACAGCAGCAAAAAAACGCCATACTAAGCATCTTCCACCATTAATATTCCTCAAAAGACAAAGAATAGCAAACAGAAACAGCAGCATCAGACCCAACAGCAGCAGAAGCCAGCAACAGAGCAGCACCAGATTATGACAACACTAGCAATCAGCATGCAGAGGCAGGGAACAACATTAGTAAACAGCCAGCAAGTAGCAGATAGCCAACAGACTTTGAAAGCCAGGACAACAAGCAAACTAGCAACAGCACATCCAGCATGACAACAACAGCACAACCAGAACCAGCATCAACAAACTCAGCAGATCAGCAACAGTAGAAATCAACAACTACACAACATCAGACTGTGGCAACGCTAGCAGCCAACAAGTAGTAGACAGAGACTAGTAGCAGCAACAAGCAACTAAGATCCAAGCAACAGCCCGGCAACCAACAGATCACCAGCATACAACACAGTAGCAACTGCCCAGCAACCAGCAGAGCATTAGCTGGCAGAGCAGACAACTGTGCAACAACAGCTGACAAGAAACAGAGCAACAGACATTAGAGCAGCAAGAAAGGAAGAACTTTGAGAAACCAGGATAGCAAGCAAACAGCAACAGCACTACCAGCAGAAAAGCATCAGCACAAACAGAACAAACAACAGCACATCACCAGGATGAGGCAGCGCCAGCATACAGAAAGCAATAGACATAGATCAGCAGCTGGAACACATAGATAACTAGCAGGTTGCAGCTATTATAGGAGCAACAGAGCAATAAAGAACCAGGCAACAACCCTAATTTTTGGTTCACTTTTACTCTATTATTATGTTATTTTTATGTATCCTATGCTTCACGGGTTCACTACTAGAAAACAGCCAATCAACGACGGAAAAAATCTGTCAAAAAACCCTTAAATTCCGTCGGAAGGCATCGTTGCATTACCTTTTGTAGGAATTTCGCGATATTCCTAGGGAAATTCGGTCGGAAAGGTCCATTCCGATGGAATTTCCGACCCGATTTATGGTTGTCAGAGTCAAGTTTGACTTAATTGGAAATTCCGTCGCAAAGTTCCGACGGAACTGTTTCCGTCGTTATACTTTACCTTCCGATGGAATAGTCCGTTGGAACCTGCCGAAAAAAAATAAAAAAAAGGAAAAAACCTACCTCGCCATCACCCACCAGACCCACTACCGTAACCCACCACCTTAACCCACCTTAACCCACCTAACCCTAACCCACCAGATCCACCACCTTAACCCACCACCTTAACCCACCTTAACCCACCTAACCCTAACCCACCAGATCCACCACCTTAACCCACCACACCTTAACCCACCTAACCCTAACCCACCAGATCCACCACCTTAATCCACCACCGTAACCCACCACACCTTAACCCACCAAAACCCTCTAATCCAAACCCTAACCCACCACGCCTAACCACACCCTTAACCCACCACCGCCTTAACCACCACATCTAACCACACCCTTAACCCACCAATGCCTAACCACCACGCCTAACCACACCTTAACCAACCACGCCTAACCACACCCTTAACCCACCGCCGCCAATAATCCGGTTTACCCTACCATAACCCACCAGCCTGAACCCACCTCACCACCCGCCAAAAAAACCCCTAACCCGTGAAAAAAAAATTAAACAACATACATAAAATAAAAAACAGAAGTTAAAAATTAAATAAATAGATCTAAAATCAACATAATTCGAAATTTAACCAACATATACATTGAAATTTAACAATTCAAAATTTAGCAAAAATTTAACTTAAATATACAATTATTTCAAAAACAAAAAGTTATACATTGAAAATTTGAACAAAATAAAACTAGATCTAATTCTAACCAAAATTAAATGTAGATCTGTTTTCAGTGTTGGCGTTGTCGGAGGTTATTGCGGTGGTGGTGTTCTTCCGCGGCCTTGATGTAGCCGGTGGTTGTTGCGGTGGTGTTCTTCTTGGTGGTTGTTGCGGACGGTGGTTGTTGTAGTGGTGGTGGTGTTGCAAAGAGGAGTGATAAGGAGATCGAGAAGAAAGAGAGAGGGGGAAAAAGGAGGGATGAGAAGAGAAGAAGGAGGGATGAGAAGAGAAGAAGGAGGGCTGAGAAATTAAAGGGAAAGAAGAAGAAGAACAGGCAGACATGCAGAGGAGAGGGAAAGAAAGAGAAAGAAGAGAGGAGAGAGGAGAGAGAAGAAGAAGAGGGGCGTAGAGATAGAATAGGAAAGAAAGAGAATTAGGGGGGTGTTATGTGAGTTCCGTGTTTTTAGATTTAGGTTTTTATTTTTTATTTTTTATTTTTTTTAATAAAATCCCACCGCAATAGGGATTTTTTTAATAAAATCCCACCGCAATAGGAATTAAAATCCGTAGGAAATTAATATGTTCCGAGGGATTTATTTTCCCTCGAAATTTACAGCTTCCGACGGAACTATCCGTCGGTAGATATTTTCCAAGGGAATATTCCGTCGGAAGCAGCAAATTCCGAGGGAAAAAAATCCGTCGGAATATTTCCGATGGATTTTCCGTCGCAACTTATCTTTTCCAACGGATATTTCTGACAGACCAAAATTCCGTCGGAATTTTCGAATTCTCCAACAGAATTTAAGTCCGTCGGAACTATTCCGTCGGAAAACGGCCTATTTCTAGTAATGGTTATTAGTGTTTTTATTAAGATTTTAGGCCTAAAGACAATTAATTGACGCCTATGGATGATAAACCGAGGTTGGAAGCAAGAAAATGATGGAAAAAAGCTAAAGCAAAGGAGCGCAAATCAAGAAGAAAGAGAGAACTGCAGTGGAGCGGCCTCCCTTAGCAGATTCAAGAAATTTTGTGGGGAGAGGCCTCTCCAACATAGGTGCACGACCTCTCCACCTGGCGTGCACTCTCCACCTATTTAGAGAGCCCTCTCCACCCCGACGCTGAAGTTCCTACTTCCTTTATCTGATTTAAAAGAAGAATGTGGAGAGGCCTCTCCAACATAGGTGCACGGTCCTCCACCTGGGGAGCGGCCTCTCCACCTTGCTACTGGAGTTTCTGCCCCAACTTCACCTAGTTTGGAGCGGCCGCTCCAAGGCCTGGAGAGGCCTGTACTTTTGCGACTTTTCTTTTGCGGAGTTTACTATGTAATTGGGGGGTATAAATAGTTTTAGGGTTTCTTTTGTACGGAGAGCCAATTTCCCAGAGTCCTTCTTCTTAGTTTGTAATTTAGAACATCAAAAACTTTAAAATCATTAGTTAGCTTTTAATTCTTATCTTGGAAATCTCAATCCAAATCATTGTAGAAGACAAGTTCCACCATTGTTGCTCAATTTGAAGCTTTCTAGTAATTATTTCTCACTTTTTTCTTCTATCTTTTCTAATTTAATTAATAATTACATGCTTAATTCTTGTATGATTAGATTGTTAATATTCTTAGTTTGAATTTTTTCATGAATTACTTGAAATCTTTAATTGCTTTAATTTCCATGGATTGTGAGTTATCTAATTTCTAAGGTTTGGGTAAAACCCTCAATGTAGTCACTAATAACTTGTTGCATGTAATAATTTGGTGATTGTGGGGTGTTAATTAGTTGAGCTTAAGTGGTTTCATTGTTTAGTTCTTGTATATGGCCATTGCTAAAACTATTTATCAAAGCTTTCTCAATGAATGATCGAGAGATGAACTTGAGTTAGCTCCCTTATGCTTAATTGACTTTAAATTCCATGAGAATAGGAATTTCTAGTCAAGGGAATTTTTATGTCATCGTGATTATGTTCTAATACTTGTTTTATGCTTTGTAACCACGAGAGTAGGTAGTATTCATGATTCAAGTATTCCCTCTAGCTTGAGAGAGTAGTTAGGCGCCTTAGATGATTTCCCCTATATTATGCCCTTAATTTACCTTGATTGTTGCATGCTAATTGTGATTTGTGACGAAGTTGAGTGGTATAACCCGAGCCCTAGAACCCTCTAAATGTTGTTATTCTCCTCTTAGCCTTTAATTGATTTGAACTAGTATAAGTTACTTAAAACCAAACCAATTTCGACTTCATTTAGCTTATTTAAACGATAGTATCTCGGTGGTTGATTCAATGCCTCTCATGGGTTCAACCCTTTCTTACCCTTGCTATTAGTTAGTGAGACCAAGAAAGGATTTTCTTTGGTAGGCTCGACGACGACCTATCATTATACTGTAAATTAAAGTGGGTGGTAGAAAGCAAAATTACTTTATTCCTTTTATATATTTTGCAATCACATGACTCTTTTTGTTTTATTTTTTTTTACAATTTAATTTTTTTTTTCTTTTATTACATCTTTTCTAATTTGTATATTGTCTAGTAGCTAAATCATGAGAACTAAGGATGGTAATGGATCGGAATCAGATCGGGGGGAGCTTCACCCACATCCATCCATCATTCGAATCGCTCCATCCACAACCATCCATCACCCGCTTCACCAATCATCCATATCCGTCCACCCGTCATCCGCGGATGACACGAAAGGATCAAGTGACTCATGGATGATCATTTTACAATAAATAAAAAATCATATAAATTTTTTTTTAACTTCTGGTTATTTCTACCATAAGTTATTATTAATACTTAAATAAAAAGGAAACACTAGCTACTTATTCTTTGAAAAAATTAATTTGCAAAAAATAAAATATTTTTATTGCATATTTCAATTGTTTTTAATTAAAATTTTGATTAAATTTTTTTATATATATGTTAAAAGGATGGGTGGATGGTTACACTAGTAGTAAAACATAAATGAGCACCGCAAAATGCGCACCAATTTTTAAAAAACAGTGCAAAAAAAATTAGGCGGGATTGAGTGAAAGAGTAATGACACCGATTCAAACCAAACCGGTACGAAATGACGTTATTAGCACCGGTTGAAACTGGTGCGAATTTAAAAAAAAAAAAAAAAAAAAAAAAAGAAAAACCGCCATACAGCTTTCTCTTCTTTCTCTTTCTTTCCCCCTGCTTTTCATTTTTGTTTTTCCCACGCATTTTTCTTTTCTCCCTTCTCTTGAATCAACCACCTTCCTTCACCACAGCCGCCACTTGCGCGCACGGGTACCCCCTCAACCACTGTCGCCACCTGCACCAAAACCCCTTCCACCACAGTCGCGTCCTCCAACAACAACCGCGAAGTCCTCTTCCCTCTTCATTTCAGCAGCATGCATAGGAGTAGCCCCGACATCCACCATAGCCGCCTGCTCCACCGGCCACCTGCGTGCAGCTAGCTCCTCTGCCCTCCAGCTCTCTTCCCCTTCCACCTCCAATTATGGTGGATATCTTCACCTCTTCCATGTAGGGTTAGTTTTAATTTTGTTGTGCATTTTGAACAATTATTTTCAATTCTAGCTCTACCTTTATTTTATTTGCATTTTGAACAATTATTGGGCACATGAGCAAACTAAAGTTAGCTAGGGTTTTAATATAATTTAACCCTAATATTGATTGCTACTTAAATTGTCTATATTATATGTTTCTTTTTGTGAATTTTAGGTGGTTTAATTGGAAATTTTTAAT